CTCCCTTCCCTACGTGCATCAGCAGCAAGGTGTAGCAGAAAGAATGAACAGGACCTTGCAGAACAGCATGCGCAAACTGTTACGTGGCATGCGGCTACCCAACCACCAGTGGCCTGCAGCAATGGACCACGCCGTCATGCTGCACAACTTGCTGTTGTCATCATCGCTTCCAAACAACGCATCACCGCATCTGCTATGGACAGGAAAACAGGGCAGCACAAAAATGTTACGAGTTTTCGGATGCATGGTACAGTACCGACCCCCAGCAGCACGAGCGGGCCGATTTTCTCAACGAGCACAGTGGGGACTACACCTGGGAATCGAAAAGAACTACAACGCGTGGAAAATCTTTGACGTCCACTCCAAGGAAACAGTAGCAGCACGTGACGTAATTTTCTACGAACGACTCACGCTCCAGACATACCTTGCCAACATGCAAGAAGACGAAGATCCCACAGGTGGTTTTCGTGGTGACCGAGCCTTCGCCTCAGCAGCGGACGAAGCTGATTGGGACGAGCAGAATGTGGACAACGCATCAGAAGAAGCCGGACCTCTCCCGTTCTGCTCCGTCGACGTTCCCATGGATGAAGACAACCCTCGCGAAAGTGCCAACGCCGAAACCTTCTACCATTCCGCCGACACGTAACACCTGCGACAGTCAACACCAACGAAGCAAAACGAATAGGACCGAACTTCATACCTGATCCAGAAGCGGGAGATGAAGCAGCTTATCCCGAGGACGTAAATCTACCCCGCTACTCAAAGAGTGGACTGCAAATTCTCGGGCTCGTCACCGCAGTCCACGGCTCCGCCACTCCTAAAGAGCCTGCAACGGTTCAGCAGGCTCTGGGGGGGGGAACATAAGGAAAAATGGCGCGAAGCCATGGACAAGGAACTAAAGGCACTGGAGGAACGCAACACGTGGAAAGTGGTTCCTATCCGCGTGGCACGGAACAAGACAGTGCTCACCGGGAAGTGGGTCTTCCGTGTGAAGACAAAGGCTGACGGCACCATCGACAAATTTAAGGCACGCTGGGTCGTACGCGGCTTCGACCAAGAGCACGGACGCGATTTCACCGAAACATTCGCTCCGGTCACCCGACACACCTCGCTACGCATCCTTCTCGCAATCGCCGCCATGAAGAAGAAGAAGCTGCGGCAAATCGACGTCGCTAACGCATTCCTCTACGCACCTGTTGACGCAGAGATCTTCGTCGAGCTACCACACGGCTCCAGCACGGACTGGAACCACGTCTGTCAACTACTCAAGTCGCTCTACGGCATCAAGCAAGCTCCGCGACTATGGCAACAATACCTACACGCTCGCCTCATTCGCATCGGCTTCAAGCAATTGCCGCACGACCACGGCATGTACCGGCTCACGAAGGGTACCGACTACATCCTGCTAATCGTCTATGTAGAGGATCTACTCTACATCGGCTCAATTGACGGCATTACAACCTGGTTCGAAGGGGAGCTACAGCAAGACCTCACACTCACGGTCTCATCTACCGTCACACAGTACCTCGGCCTCAACATCCGGGAAGAGGAAGGTGCTATCTACCTCAGCGCCGCGAAATACGCCGACACCATCGCCAAGCGTTTCGCACTCACACCGACTGTCATCTCCACACCGTACCGCTACACGACAGCAAACAAGAAGGAAGGCTCCGCTCTACTCAAGTCCGCCGGCATACGCGACTACCAGAAAAAGCTGGGCTGCCTTCTCTTCGCAGCTGTCACCTGCCGCCCAGATCTATCCTACTCCGCAAGCCAGCTCGCCACCTACCTCAAGAAGCGTGAAGTAGAACATCTGGCGGAGCTCGACCACGCTCTACACTACTTCGTCAGCACCTCAACGATCGGCCTAACTTACTACAAGAACGCAACCACACCGACTAAGTTAATCGGCTACGTCGACGCTGATCACGCTGGCGACTCAGACAATAGGCGCTCCCGCACTGGCTACATCTACCGCCTCGAACCTATCGGACCTATCTCCTGGCAATCGAGCAAGCAGGAATTAATTGCTCTCTCGTCAGCTGAAGCAGAATATATTGCACTCTGCTCAGCCACCAAGGAAGGACTCTATCTTCGCGAGCTGCTGGAAGAAGCGAAGTTAGCCGAGTTACCCAACTTTACCCTGTTCTGCGACAACCAATCGGCAATTCGCATCGCCAACAAGAACGGCTTCGCAAACAGGACGAAACACATCGCCCTGCGATATTTCTTCGTGAAGGACGAGATCGAGAAAGGAAGGCTCGAGCTGTCATACTGCCCAACGTCCGAGATGGCAGCTGACTACCTGACCAAGAAGCTCGGAAAGCAGAAGTTCGAATACTGCATGCTGCTGACTGGACAGGGTCACGTCAGCGACACTCCAGAAGCGAAGGGGAGTGTTGGAAACAATCGGTCCTAAGCGCCTCTGTCGTGTCGAAACACTAAGGCGCAAGCGAAGCAAAGCATATCAAGGAACCAGCGAGTCAACCCTCGGAGGTTGAAGTAACCGCTGGAGGTTACGCGAAAGTCAAAGGTCAGTGACCTTTGACCTGACAAGTACAGCGCGACAGCAAGGACACACAACTGACTCGTTACAGAGCAGTTGCCCGAGTCGTCACTGTATCGAACCGCAACAGCAACAGTAAAGTAGTTATAACAGTGTCTTTTCATATTCCCTGTATTCATATATAATCTTGTATCTCCTTGTTTTAATCAACTAACTTTGCTCTCACATACTAACCCAAGGTGGTTCACAACACTTTATTAACGCTTCCGCTATTACACCAACTCTACCCAGAGTTCACCCCTGCAAAGATCCTAAAGGCCTTTTTCAGCCCTACAAAAATTTCGCGTGTACTTTCACTTAGAATCTGCCAAGATTTCCCCCCTCCCACAATCTCGCTGTCGCCGCGCTGGCGAACTTTCCGCTACAAGCAGGGCCCACAATATCAGGGTAAAACACCCTGATTACCCTGGGGGCCGGCCGCTTTTTCAGGATTACCCTGCTGAAATCAGGATTGCGAAATAGTTACCCTTCTCTTAAAAGAGCATGTTTTATTTTACCCTGCTAGGTTTTTAGCTTACCCTGGCGGAATCAGGGTTTGGTGTACACTACCCTGTTACCGAATCTTTTCTAACGCGAATCAGACCATAGTCCGCGTGGTGGCGACAAAACGTACAACACCTCCACAAACACCCGTTGTCGCTCGTGCCCACGCGCATGGAAACTTGCATCGTAGTTGGCAGCACGCCAAGAATCCTCATTGGTTGTTTCTGCCGTAGGTCTGCCAACAATTATTGCTCCTCGTCACTTATCGCCACGCCCACCGCCATCACAGCAGAATTGGCTGTCAAGGACAGCTTCAAGCTGTCCTTAACAACAACTTGCAGCCTCAGTGCTGCCTTGCTGACCATAACAGGGCCCGCCCCGTGGAAGAAACGGCCAGTTGCGTGTGTTGACTTCATGGACTCTGAATGTGCTACTTGTGTATATCATTAAAAATAAGTTAACTCACAAAATAGATACAAAAACAGGCTTAGCCTAAAACTACTCTGCTCAAATCAGGCTAGTGGTACATTTACCCTGCTGGAAACAGGGTATGAAATGTTTTACCCTAGGGGTCTGTTTAAGGAGGGGCTGTTACCCTGATTCGTAAGGGTAGGCCTAAACCAATTTTGGGCCCTGGCTACAAGCGGCCCAATAGGTGAAAATCATCTTTTCACATGAGGCACAGACACGTGACCAAATCAGTCAAAGTGACTGGTACAGTACGGTAAGAACTCATCACCGTGCGCGATTCTGGCCTCGAAGGTTGCATGAACCCTCGCCACGCAATTGGGTTAGTTTTCACCCTAACAAGTGTCAGGATTGCCCACTCAAATTCGCCACGTGGCAGATTCCAGTCCGCGGTCATGTTATTGTCGTATACTCGGTTTCGCAGCACTGGTCAACAATGTTGTAGTGGAGTCAAGTCTCTGATTTTGTTTCACATGTTTTCTACTTGATAAAAAATATGACATTTTTTGAAAGTGTGAAACACTTTCTAAAAATAAAGATTGTGAAAGCGCAGCTGACTGTAGTGAAGCAAGGCAACTGCGAATGCCTCTTCCCGAGTACATAACGAGGGTTGGAGGCCATTTGGCCTCCACCCACGTCTTCATTTCGGAACTTTTCAGTTCTGCTTCATTCTCGTCCAACCACTTCCGTTCTCAATTATTCTGAATTCTCACTCTAGAAGCACAGAGGCAACGCTAGGACAAGTGCTGCAGCAGCGTAGTTATACATTAGCTACTGCGTGCGTCAACTGCGGAGGGTACAGCATTGCGCCCGCGATGCACTTGGCGTACGCGCAACTGAGAAAGAAGTGCGCATGAAGCAACGGCCACTGGCGCATCAGTGACGAAATCGCCACGTGCGCCAGTGGCGTGCGCTAGTGACGAAATCGTCACTTGCGCCAGTGGCGCGCGTGTCTGGCGAAATCGCCACTTGCGCCACTGGCGCGCGTGTGTGGCGAAATCGCCACGTGCGCCACTGGCGCGCGCGTGTGGCAAAATCGCCACTTGCGCCACTGGCGCGAGGGTGTGGCAAAATCGCCACTTGCGCCAGTGGCGCGCGTCTGTGGCGAAATGGCCATTTGCACCAGTGGCGAAATCGCCATGGACGAAATGGCCAGTGGCGCGGCAGTCAAGAAACTGCTACTGCCGCGCCTAAGGCGTTTGACTGGCCCAGTGGAGCACCCCATGTCACCTCACCAATTATTTCGCTGTTGCATATAAATCGTTGCAACTTCTTTTCATTTATTTTTCCTTTCTCTCTTCGTCTTCTTCTTCCAGTTCTAATTTTTACTCTCATTGCCTATAAATCTCGATACCCCCTGGACTCTCTTGATGGCAGAAAAACCGGCACAAGATGGAAAGCCGTTGATTGAAGTCGCGCGGAAAAAATTGCAATGACGACGGGATCAACTGCACGCACATCGAAAGGAGGGGCCGGGCCGCCCCTAGGGGGGAAGGGACCGAGGGTCCGCAAGTTGGCCTGAGAGCCGCCCCCAGGGGGAGAAGGGACCGAGGGTCCCCACAGTTGGCCTGAGAGCCGCCCCCAAGGGGGGGAAGGGACCGAGGGTCCCCACAGTTGGCCTGAGAGCCGCCCCCAGGGGGGGAAGGGACCGAGGGTCCCCAAAGTTGGCCTGAGAGCCGCCCCCAGGGGGGGAAGGGACCGAGGGTCCCCACAGTTGGCCTGAGAGCCGCCCCCAGGGGGGGAAGGGGACCGGGGGTCCCCAAGTTGGCCTGAGAGCCGCCCCCAGGGGGAAAGGGGACCGAGGTCCGTGAACTTCGATATTTGGCAAAAAAAAAAAAAAAAAACACTTCCAAGAGGGGTGTGGACAGGTTCTAAGTATGCTGGCCAAAGGGCCACCTTCTTAGGGAGGGAGGATTTGCGGACTCGCAATATGAGGAATTATGTATGTGGGTTACATAATTATTGTGTATGTGGATCCGTATTATCATTGGCCATTATGTGTACAATATGATAATAGTGAAAAAAAAAAATGGAGCAATTTTCGTCCTAATCGGATGTCGAAGCCACAAACAATTAGTTGACTGACTTCGGTAAGGTTGGTAGAGTGCAACTACCGTACCGGTAGTAAGGACATCCATGGGATCCTACTTTATCACTCACCTACACTGCACAACGAGGAAGGAGAGAGTGTCATGCAACCATTATTCACTAGTACGATGACCTGTTTCGTCACACCTTCCGAACAATAGAGGGGAAAGTAAAACATGTACCGAATGTCAAGGTAATTTACCTGCCACTACCGTTACTCGTTACGCTTCGACAATATAATTGTTGATTGGAGCTACGAGACATTGGTAACATGGTGTGGCAGGGCAGCCAATGCACCTCTTGTCGTTTTTCTTGGGCAACCATCATATACGGTCCAGGATAGAAAGGAGCAACCGATGGGCCATGAGACGAGCAACCGATGGGCCAGGAGTCGAGCAACCGATGGGCCACGAGACGAGCAACCGATGGGCCATGAGACGAGCAACCGATGGGCCACGATACGAGCAACCGATGGGCCACGAGACGAGCAATCGATGGGCCACGATACGAGCAACCGATGGGCCACGAGACGAGCAACCGATGGGCCACGAGACGAGCAACCGATGGGCCACGAGACGAGCAACCGATGGGCCACGAGACGAGCAACCGATGGGCCACGAGACGAGCAACCGATGGGCCACGAGACGAGCAACCGATGGGCCACGAGACGAGCAACCGATGGGCCACGAGACGAGCAACAGATGGGCCACGAGACGAGCAACCGATGGGCCACGAGACGAGCAACCAATCGGCTACGAGACGAGCAACCGATGGGCCACGAGACGAGCAACCGATGGGCCACGAGACGAGCAACCGATGGGCCACGAGACGAGCAACCGATGGGCCACGAGACGAGCAACCGATGGGCCACGAGACGAGCAACCGATGGGCCACGATACGAGCAACCGATGGGCCACGAGACGAGCAACCGATGGGCCACGAGATGAGCGGCCGATGACCCACCGATAGGCCAACGGGCCAGCAACCGAAGGGCACGAGACGAACAGCCGATGGGCCACGATACGAGCAACCTATGCGCCAAGAGGCGCGCAATCGATAGGCCAAGAGACGAGCAACCGATGGGCCACGAGACGAGCAACCGATGGGCCACGAGACAAGCAACCGATGGGCCACGAGACGAGCAACCGATGGGCCAAGGGAGTAGCAATTGATGGTTTAATGGACAAGCAACTAATAGCCCACGAGATGAGTAGCTGATGGGCGACGAGACGAGCAACTGATGTGCCACGAGACGAGCAACTGATAGGTCATGAGACGAGCAACCGATAGGCCAGGAGTCGAGCAACCGATGGGCCACGAGACGAGCAACCGATGGGCCATGAGACGAGCAACCGATGGGCCACGATACGAGCAACCGATGGGCCACGAGACGAGCAATCGATGGGCCACGATACGAGCAACCGATGGGCCACGAGACGAGCAACGGATGGGCCACGAGACGAGCAACCGATGGGCCACGAGACGAGCAACCGATGGGCCACGAGACGAGCAACCGATGGGCCACGAGACGAGCAACCGATGGGCCACGAGACGAGCAACCGATGGGCCACGAGACGAGCAACCGATGGGCCACGAGACGAGCAACCAATGGGCCACGAGACGAGCAACCGATGGGCCACGAGACGAGCAACCGATGGGCCACGAGACGAGCAACCGATGGGCCACGAGACGAGCAACAGATGGGCCACGAGACGAGCAACCGATGGGCCACAAGACGAGCAACCAATCGGCTACGAGACGAGCAACCGATGGGTCACGAGACGAGCAACCGAGGGGCCACGAGACGAGCAACCGATGGGCCACGAGACGAGCAACCGATGGGCCACGAGACGAGCAACCGATGGGCCACGAGACGAGCAACCGATGGGCCACGATACGAGCAACCGATGGGCCACGAGACGAGCAACCGATGGGCCACGAGATGAGCGGCCGATGGCCCACCGATAGGCCAACGGGCCAGCAACCGAAGGGCACGAGATGAACAGCCGATGGGCTACGATACGAGCAACCTATGCGCCAAGAGGCGCGCAATCGATAGGCCAAGAGAGGAGCAACCGATGGGTCACGAGACGAGCAACCGATGGGCCACGAGACAAGCAACCGATGGGCCACGAGACGAGCAACCGATGGGCCAAGGGAGTAGCAATTGATGGGTTAATGGACAAGCAACTAATAGCCCACGAGATGAGTAGCTGATGGGCGACGAGACGAGCAATTGATGTGCCACGAGACGAGCAACTGATAGGTCATGAGACGAGCAACCGATAGGTCAAGAGACGAGCAACCGATGGGCCAAGAGACAAGCACCAGACATGCCAAAAGACGAAAAACTGATGGGCCAGTAACGCATGGCTGGAGGTTTTGTTATGCGACATTTTTCTTACAAACCCACACCCTTTCGGATCTAAACATGATACAAATGATGCATACCGCACCAGTCCCGCAAGCATCATATTTCAATATCAGCCACTTCCCTACGGACACACCTTATTCTGGGCCCCCCTTAGTTCCTCAAGCTAAAGATCTTGTACACGGGGCCAATCGTAAATATGAAAGTTTCAAACTAAAGCATTGATTTTTTATGACACGTCACTAGTCCAAGACCCTACGCCGCGTCATCGACCAAACAACATCACAATCGCGGCACCAGTCTACGTGCAACACTGGGAGCTTCATCACTGACACATGGGCCGTCTTCAACAACCATCTTCCCCACCGCGCTTGCCAGCATAACAATCATTCTAAACCACGGGCCCCCTCTCGACCAACAACGAAGGGGGTACATCTACCAAAGGAGGGACCAACTCGCATAACCACGTCGACAGGGAATGCAACGACCTGCACCAACAACTGATATCACTGGACATCGCCATCAACCGGCTTCACGATCTACGCTTAGCCCACGCACGCACATGTCTCAGAAGGCCCAATTAAAATGAAGCACGTTGCCTTGCAATAATCAGAAAGCAAGCTTTCTCAATATACCATATAATAAGACCCGGGTATTATGTAGGATTTTCCTTTGAGGAGACCCCCCCATTTTTTCCCAGTGGTTTTCATAATACCCTAGGGTGTTTTATCCGGGAGATAACGGTAGGAGGATCAGGGTGTAGGAAGGAAGAGTGTAGGGTATTTATGGGGGAGGTGATGGTGGTAACAGGGTTACTGCTGATAGGTGTGACAACTGGGACTAAGGGATAAGAGGCAGGAAGTAGGAAGAGAGAGTGTGGGGTATTTTGGGGGGAGGTGATGGTGGTGACGGTATACTGTAGACAGGTGTGAAGACTGGGACGAAGGGATAGCAGGCCAAGAAGAAGGACGAGAGATTGTAGAGATGGATGGAAGAGGAGAGGGAAGAGGAGGGGATAGGAGGGAAGAGGAGGGAAGAGGAGGGAAGAGGAGGGAAGAGGAGGGAAGAGGAGGGGAGAGGAGGGGAAAGGAGGGGAGAGGAGGGGAGAGGAGGGGTGGGGAGGAGAGAGGAGGGGAGCTAAGGCGAGAGGAAGGGAGAGGAGGCGAGAGTAGGGGAGAGGAGGCGAGAGGAGGGGGGAGGAGGGGAGAGGAGGCGAGAGGAGGGGGGAGGAGGGGAGAGGAGAGGAGAGGAGAGGAGGAGAAAAGATAGGGGAGGAGGGGAGAGGAGGGGAGAGGAGAGGAGAGGAGGGGAGAGGATGGGAGAAGAGGGGAGAGGAGGGGAGAGGATGGGGGAAGAGAGTGAAGAGGGGAGTAAAGGAGGGGGGGAGGAGATAGAGTGAAGAGAGGGATGGAGGAGTTGGAGATGAGAAAAGCATGAGGCAGGTTCCTCACACGAGGGGACGAGGGGAAGGGTGAGAGAGGTAGTCAGTGAGAGAGAGAAACGCGAGAAGGAAAAAACGAGGGTGAAGGCTGGGGTTGTGGGTGATTGATAAGACACATAGAAGATTGAAAAGGAGATGACAGACGTAAGGTGAGAGGGAAGGAGTTGGATTCGCAGTACGTGGAGAGCGGGGACGATAGGGGAGGGGGAGGAGAGGGGAGAGGGGGGAGGAGAGGGGAGGGGGGAAGAGAGGGAGGGGGTAGGAGAGGGGAGACGAGGGAGGGAGGGGGGTGGAAATGGCGGAAGGGGGTAAAGGGAGGGTAATGAGAGAGAGTGGAAGAAGGGCAGGACGGGGGTTGTGAATATGAGGGGAGAGGGAAACAAGTAAGTAGACTGACAATACCGCTGCTTCATTTGGATATGTCACTCTCTATATGGAATTTTCGAGCACATTATCTCAGTTCGTATTATTATGGAAATAACAGCGTTGTTGAAAAACGGCGAGACACACTTAACCTCGAATACGTTTGTACCTTGCATTCTATTTTTTTTTTTTTTTATTGATCAAAATTGCAATGTCAGACCTATTTCGGCAGAACGCTCGCCTTGTCCTTCTCGTACTTCACGTAGAGCGCGCCAAGCCCTAGGAGAAAATACACCTGCACCGCGATCGTCGCGCCGTCGTGATACTCCAAAATGGACGATCCGGATGCGAGCTCCACCGAGACAAGAGCAGCCAATCCAATGGCTGCGAGCCGTCCGCTCAATCTCTCCGTGTACGCAGAAAATCCGAGCGAAACTGGTAGCCCGTCGGACATGGGATCCTTCAGTGGAAGAGGAGGCAGGATCTCGGCGATTTTAGCTGCTTCTGCAGCTGCTGACGTGGCGTCTGACGTGGGGGAAGCGGATGACGAGGAGGAAGCAGGCGGAGCGTCTCCGCTGGCCTTAGCTTTCCGCTCCTCCGCCTTTTTCCCCGTTCCGCTCGCGTTCTTCCGCCTTAGGCGCTCCAGACGAGCCTCGAATTCCTCGTCATCGCTGGACGCTCTGACGACGAGCCGCGAGACGCGGCTGCTGCTGACGTGTCTAGGAAGCGCCGACGCTAGACTGGTGGAAATGCGGGACGACAGCGACGACGCGGCGAGAGCGGAAGCCATGACTAGCGTCTGTGTCTGAGAATGGGGGTACTGTTGGTGGTGATGGTGATGGTGATGGTGGTAACAGCGGTAACTATGCTGCGCAGAAACACGAGCGAGCCCTCGAGTCTTAGCTACCACAAACGGCGACTACCACCTGAATAGCTTTTGCAGGAAGCCTGAAGACAGCCGTTGAAATGAGAAACTCCTAGAAACTAGTGTGCAGGAAATTTCACCATTGGGAATGTCGCGCTCCCCGCCACTTTGATCAGGCAGGCGGGAGGTTGCGCGGGAGGTTGCGCAGGATGTCGCAGAGGGTTGTGCCCTGTCGTGCAGAAGGTTGGGGAAGTGGCGGGCGGAAGCTTTGCACTGCCGGGCGGACCCTTGGAAACGTCAGAGCTTGAGGCCGGGAAAGGAACACGACGTGGTAACAGACACGTCATGAACACGTGTTCCGCGAGGCCCCTCAAGATCCGATGCCACGTCGCTAGGTTTCCTACCACGCGTCGCTCGGATGGTTTGCTTGAATTTTGCGTGGCAGCAAGTGAAAAATATGCAGCCACGTTTGCAGGCTTCCACAGAAGCAGCGGAACCTGCTGACAGTGACGCTCCTATATCGCAGATTCCTAGTACCGAATTGCCACAAATAACGCACTCGATAATCAAAATCTCTTGATTCTCTTTCAGATGAGTAATATTGATGGAAGCCATCACCATCATCCCAACATAATGGAGGCATTAGGCACTACCTAAGAACGGAATTAACAAAATAATTTCAAAATCATAGCTACAGAGTTGAAGCGGCAAGGCGATAGAAAAGGGCAAGGTCTTCAGACTTCTTCCAAATGTATGTGCGAACCGTGGCCAAGCTCATCTCCGGCTTGAGAAGCTGCCATGGAGGGAGAAAGACACAGAAAACAATACATATTATTGACCATGCGCTGGACATTAACAAAGCATTAGCCTGGATGTTAGTTGATTTTTACAGATATCAAGCAAACAAGCTCACCTGATTAGATATCCCATTCTGAGGCTCACCTGATTATTGCAGAAAATCTCAACCACCACAGGAGGGGCCAGGGGTCCTACTGGCCCACCTGCTCTCCCCTTCATCCCCCCTCCGCTCTCCTCCTCTTCCTCTTGCAAGTCATCCAATCCCAGCTTCTCCCGCACATAGCTCATCACCTGCACGCACACATGAGAGGAGGAACTGGCGGATTTGTAAACATTTGTAATCAATATTCAGATTGCAAAGCGGTGATTCAAGCTTCTCCTGCACGTAGCTCATCGCCTGCAACAGAGACATCAGGAAAGAAGAGGATGATTTTTTTTTCCTCTTTCTTTCTTTTTTTCTTGCCCTTCCATGTCACGCCCTTTCCCTGTCCACAACCCACCCCTGCACTCAGCCTGTTCTGCGTCATGCCATCGCCCTCCTTCTCACTTTCTCGCACCATAACGCCCTTCTCTTCCCCCCTGCCTCCCATCCAGCATCCACCTTACCTTGAGGATTTTGAGAATCTTGGGAGCGCTCAGCTTGTTCTGAGTCATACCCTTCCCCCATCTCGGGCTTGGGCCCTCCGTTTCCACTGCCCACCACCCACCAATGTCTATCCAGCATACCTTGAGGATTTTGAGAATCTTGGGAGCGCTCAGCTTGTTCTGTGTCAGAGGCCGCAGCTGTGAGCCATCCAGGGGTTGCAGGTAGAAGCTGCACCTGTGGGTTGGAGGGGGGAGAGAGGTGGGGTATAGGAGCACATACGGAAAGGAAGAGTGGGTTTTGGGGAAGAATAGAGGCGGGGAAGGAAGGTGGCCTTTGAAATAGCCGCAGCTGCGAGCCATCGAAGGGTTGCAGGTAGAAGCTGCACCTGTGGGGGAGAGAGGGGGGGTTGGTGGGTTGGGGGTTGGGGGGCACGATGGGAGGAAAGGGAGGTGAGCTTTAAAGTTCTTCGAACCTCCTTCGCTTGCTTCGCAATTTTTGGCTAGTCTCCTAGCTGTGAGCCATCCAACGGCTGCAAGCAGAAGCTGCAGCTATGGGGCGGGAGGGGAGGAGTAAAAGGGGGGTTGGGGGCAAAAAGGGAGGGAAAGGAGGTGAGCTTCAAAGGGCTGGGCAGTTGCGATCCATCAAGGGCTGCAGGTAGAAATGCATCGGTGGGTTTCGGGTTGGGGATGGGCGTGGCAAGCAGGGGAGTGGGAGATGGGCAGGACGATAGATGAAAGGGAAGGAGGGAAGGCGAGGTGTTGTGTAAGGGTCACACAACTTTGGTCTACTGGTTCGAGTGTAACGAGCCAGACCAGAATAGCATGTCGTTGCGCCGCCACGCCACGCCACGCCACGCCACGCCACGCCACGCCACACCACACAACTTCGTTTTGAGAGCGCTGATGAAGGGCACCGGCCGAAACGCGCGTACGCTCAGGTTTGAATAAACGATTTCTTACCTACTATCCCTACTAGCCTAAGCTCTGCCATTAGGACAAGTTACCTGTTGGAGTAGGACGAGTCACCTGCGGATCCAGGTCGAAACTTTATACATATGCTTCAAAACTAGTCATTGCGCCGCCACGCCACGCCACGCCACACAACTTCGCACCGCCATGGCCCGAACTGAGGGTTCTCTGTGATGATTTTGAGGCGCCTCACAAGTCACAACCCTGCACCGCCACAGGCCCAACCGAGGACCCTCTGTGACTATACATATGAGTCTCATCGGTTGTTGAATTTAGAGTCGACTTAGAATGAGGTGAATTTTGACTGAGTCGACTCAGAATGAGGTGACTTTTGACTGAGTCGACTCAAAATGAGGTGACTTTTGACTGAGTCGACGCAAAAGCCGCCACAGGCCCGACTGAGGACCCTCTGTGACCATAACTATGAGTCTCATCGGTTGTTGAGTGGGAAGCTGGGGTCCCTCTGGAGCAGTCGGTCGTTCCACACGCAATCAGCACACCACCCCAGGAGCAGCAGCGCAGCCTCACTTCTTCCTACCCACCTGAGGCAAAGTCTGGTGACTGGTTTTGTTGTATCAAGTGGGAATTTCAGGCTCTTACTTGCTAGGGTCCCGCTGGGGCAGTCGGTCGTTCCACACGCAGTCAGCACACCAGCCAGGCAGCAGCAGCCTCGCTTCCTCCCACCCCGCCCCGTCCGCTGCTAGAGTCACAACCCGCCGCCGCCACGGGCCAAACTGAGGGCCCTCTGTGATTATAGAGGGCGGGAACTGGCTGGGGAACTCGAAGGAGGGGAGTAGGCCGGATAACACGTCCTCTTCTCCCTCCTCTTCTGACGTAGATGCTGCTACTGCTCCTCCTGCTCCTGATCTTACTCCTCCTCCCGCTCCTGCTCCTTCTCCTGCTGGCCCCACTGCCCTCCCTTGTGCTTCTGCTGCTTCTGTTGCTGCTGGGATTGATGTGGCTGCTGCTGCTGCTGCTGCTGCTGCTGCTGCTGCTGCTGGCACTGCTGCTGTGGCAGCTGCAGCAGAGGCAGACCGTCTTAACCCGGTGTGTGCATTGGAAGAGGAGGAAGAGGAGGTAGTGGTAGCAGTGGTTGTGGCGGAGGAGGGATAAGCGGGGTGAGTGAGGGAGGAGGAGGGAGTGAGGGAGGCGGGTGTGTGGGAGGAGTGCATGGGAGGAAGTCTCTTCTCGTTGAGCCATGGCCATAGCAGGCCTCTTAGGGTTTGTTGACCCAGGTTCAACTGGTGGTGGTGAGAGAGGTGAGAGAAAAAAGGTTGAGGGAACAAAGGGTGAAGGAGAGTGCGAAAAGAGCGGTCTCTTCTTGTTGAGCCAGGGCCATAGCAGGTCTCTTAGGGCTTGTTGACCCAGGTTCAGATGGTGGTGGGGGTCGTGGGAGGGAAAGCATTAGGAACTTAAGGGTTAGGGAGGGTGGACAGGAGGTTGAGGCACCTCCTTCTAAATAAGCCATGGCCAGAGCAGGCCGCTTGGAGTTTGCTGCCCCAGGTTCAACTGGCCATGGGAAAAGGAGAGCAAGGGAGAGGCGGGCAGGCAAGGGAAATTCGAGTAAGGGAAAGGGTGCACGGGAGGGCAGGGTAACTCCCCCTGTTGAGCCATGGCCAGAGCAGGCCGCTTGGAGCTTGCTGACCAAGATTCAACTGGCCATGGAAAAAGGAGGGTAAGGTAGAGGCGAGTAGGGGAAAGTCGCTCAGCAGAGAAGCATTGGGGGCACGCCAAGGGGAGTGGGGTGGGGTGGGGCGGGGTAGGGTGCGGTGCCAGCACGCACCCTACCTACGATGGCCTAAGTTTGCGTACGACGTACACTCAGCGCTCTCCTCACCTTGAGGTCTTCAGACGCCCCTGGTACGTCCAGGTCAGTGGTGTAGATCTCAGCTGAGAAGCACTGTGGGCACTCCAGGTGCAGCGAGAGGCGGGAGAGTGAGCTTTGTGCATGTACCTGCACCTTGCACACTAACACACTCACTCACCTTGAGGTCTTCAGACGCCCCCAGCACGTCCAGGTCAGTGGTGTAGATCTCAGGTGAGAAGCACTGCGGGCACTCCAGGTGCAGCGAGAGGCGAGAGAGGCAGGTGAGTGGCCGTACCAGTTACATACATGCACTACCCGCCTCACCTTGAGGTCTTCAGACGCCCCTGGTACGTCCAAGTCTGTGGCGTAGATCTCAGCCGAGAAGCACTGCGGGCACTCCAGGTGCAGTGAGAGGCGAGAGGGTGAGCTGTGCACGTACCTGCACCTTGTACCCCCCACCCAACCCTCCCCCCCCCCCCTTCTCCACTGCGGGCACTCCAGGTGCACAGGGAGGCAAGAGGGTAAACCCACACCTTCTTTCCTGCACGCTCACACACACTCTCCCCCTATGCACGTTCGAGACTTGCTATACCTTGAGGTCTTCAGATGCTCCTGGCACGTCCAAGTCTGTGGCGTAGATCTCAGCAGAGAAGCACTGCGGGCACTCCAGGTGCACAGGGAGGCAAGAGGGTAAACCCACACCTTCTTTCCTGCACGCTCACACACACTCTCCCCCTATGCACGTTCGAGACTTGCTATACCTTAAGGTCTTCAGATGCTCCCGGCACGTCCAAGTCTGTGGCATAAATCTCAGCAGAGAAGCACTGCGGGCACTCCAGGTGCAGTGATAGACAGCCAAAGCGGAGGTCCACTGAGAACCACGGGCTTACGCTGATCTGGTGTTGAAAGGGGTGCAAGGGGTTGAGAGGGGTTGAGAGGGGTGAGGTGGGAGGGGGGGAGCAGAGAGGTGCTAGGTGCTAGCCAAAGCGGAGGTCCACTGAGAACCACGGGCTCACGCTGATCTAGTGTTGAGAGGGGTAGTGAGGGATGGAGAGGGGTGAGAGGGGGTTGAGGAAGGAAGAAGAGCGGTGCTGAAAGGTAGCCAAAGCGGAGGTCCACTGAGAACAACAGGGAGGCTCGCGCTGTTCCGATGAGTGGGAGAGGTGGGCCAACGAAGGGGTTGAGTTGTGAGGGTTGAGGAGGTGAGATTGAGGGAAGCCAAATCACAGGTCCGATGGGAGTGAGCGAGCCAGTGAGTGAGGTGAGAGCGTGACTGGGTGAGTGAGTGAGTGAATGACTGGGTGAGTGAGTGAGTGGGTGAGTGCGTGAGTGAGTGAGTGAGGGTATGTATCAATCCATCATCATGACGTACCATTTCAAAGAGCTCTTTTTCTTTTTCTTCAAATGACACCTGCACCAGACAAGGACAAAGACAGAGAAGTTCCAGGTGTCAAAAGTCAAGACGGAGATGGAAAACGGAACCTGGCAAAACACGACCCGACTTTGTGCTTCGTCACTTTTGAGGCGCCTAAAACAATCCTGGAAAAATAGCAAACTTCGTGCATGGTCCCTGGTCAGCTGAATGCACTACAGCACATTATCGTGCACTGTACCACTGGGCGCCATGGCAGGCCATATATGGACCTGTACCACTGGGCGCCATGGCAGGCCATATATGGACCTGTACACCGCGTATCTACAGCAACATGCACTGAAGCATCACGCACTGTTGCAGCATGCATGCACCACTCACTCACCACCCCGTAGCTGGCAACAACAGCTCCCCGGGTGATTTCCCACAGACCACACCACACCTCCAACTAAAACAGCGTGTACCATGCACTGTAGCAGCGTGCACGGTAGCATCACACGCTGCTAGCACCATGCACCACTCACCACCCCGTAGTTGGCAACAACAGCTCCCCGGGTGATCTCCCACAGCTTCACCACACCTCCCTCGTCCTAAGTGGAGGGGTGAAGGGAGGAGGATGTGTGCCGGCGTTAGGGGACAAGAATGGGGATGGTGGGTAGGGGGAGAGTGCGTGCGTGGAAGAGAGAGAAGGAAGAGAGGCAAATGAATGTTAGAAGGTCACTGAGTGAGGTGAGCACATGCCGCACGTCATTCAAAATGGTGTGGCTTGTGCACAGACCCAATCCAACCCACCTGCACTCACACTAACGCACACACATACTCATCCAGCATACATGAGGCTCACTCACCCGGGTGAGGACATGCCATCTGGATTCTGGATTATGTCGTTTAGAATGGTGTGGCGTGTGCACAGACCAATCACAACCCACTTACCCGGCACCCACACCCACACTAACGCACATATTCATCCAAGTATGCATGAGGCTCACTCACCCGGGTGGGCAGGGCATGTGCCGTCTGTTGTTGCAAATTGCAAAGCGTGCGATGGGTGTTGGTTGATCCAACACCGGTAAGCACTCAAGCACTCAGACCCACGTGCACACAGGCGCACAACACACATCCAACCACCCCCACAGGCGCACAACACACATCCAACCACCCCCACAGGCACACAACAAACATCCAACCACCCCCACAGGCGCACAACACACATCCAACCACCCCCACAGGCGCACAACACACATCCAACCACCCCCACAGGCGCACAACACACATCCAACCACCCCCACAGGCGCACAACACACATCCAACCACCCCCACAGGCGCACAACACACATCCAACCACCCCCAATCCTTACCCGAGTGGGCACGTGCCGTCTGTCGTTCAGAATTGCATGGCGTGTGATGGATGCTGGTTGTGTCAACACCAGTAAACACTCAGACCCACACGCGCACGCACACATGCACAACACAAAAGCGCACGGAAGTTCCAAACACCCACACACAATTCTCACCCGCGTGAGCACGTGCCGCCTGTCGTTCAGTATGGCATGGCGTGTGATGGGTGCGGTGCCAAGGATGGCGGCGATCGGATGGGGGAATAGGGGAACCTGGACAAGTAGGAGAGGGGGAGAGCAGAAGGGGAGAGGGGAGAAAAGCAAGACAGTCAGTCTGTCTTTAGACGGGCATGGCATGTGATGGGTGTGGTGCGTGCAACAGATGGTGGCAATGGGATGAGCGAATAGAGGAACCTGGAAAAGCGGGGGGAAGAGAAGAAATTGGAGAGGGGAGAGGAGAGTGGGGAGTGAGGCAAAAGAGGAAAGAGGAAAGAGGAAAGAGAAAGGAGACAGGGGATGAGCGCACACAGGGGATGATGGTATCCCAGGGGAGAAGGGGAGTGGAGAACATGGGTAAAAGAAGGAAGAAGGGCAGATGCAAGCAGGGGAGCAAAAGCAAGCAGGAGAGCAAAAGCAAGCAGGAGAGCAAAAGCAAGCAGGAGAGCAAAAGCAAGCAGGAGAGCAAAAGCAAGCAGGAGAGCGGAAGCAAGCAGGAGAGTGCGCATTTGAATCAACAGAGCAGGAGAGCATTCCACCCGACAGAGGAGGGAGTTTCTGAGGTGAATCTTCTTCAGTTAACAGTGTGAAAGAGCCTTCCACACTAGCTCGAGCGGAGAGGTCAGCACTCGCACAGACGAAAGACCCATCCGGTGACATGCCTTTGCAAGCAAGAGAAGAGTTGAATGCGCCCCACCCACCAGAGAGAAAGAGCTCTCCACGCTAGCTCGAGCACGAGACACCCCAAGGCTGCTGGCGATGAATGTGCTGGCGGAGAGGTCAGGACTCGCACAGAACATCGGTCCATTCGGTGACCCAGTGGAGGGTGGAGGGGAGGGAGATTGGAGTGCACTTCACTCACCAGAGAGAAAGAGCTTTCCACGCTGGCTCGGGCGCGGGACACCCCAAGGCTGCTGGCGATGAATGTGCTGGCAGAGAGGTCAGGACTCGCACAGAACACCGGACCATTCGGTGACACGCCCCCCTCCTCCTCTCCTGCTCCCGCCCCTCTTCTTGCCTCATCTCCTCCGCAGTCTGCTTGCGCTGCTGCTGCTCCAGTCACTTGCTCCTCCACCCCACCCGCCACCCTCCTTGCTGCCTTCTCCCCGTCCTCCCCTACCCATGCGTCCCCGGTCCCGCCTGTCAAAGCAGCAGAGTCAGCAGGCCAACACCGGACAGACGAGGCAGAAGTGCTAACCCACATCCTGTCACAATCCAGCCGTCTCTCTATCACTCCTCCTCCTCCTCCTCCTCCTCCTCCTCTCCTCTCCCCTTCTCTTCTGTCCTCCCTTCCCCCTCTCCCCTTTCCCCCTCTCTCCCCGCCAGGCTGTAACGCCAGGTGGAGCACGGGGCGATCCTCCTTGGCCAATAGGATGCTTTCCCGCGTGGCGAGATCGGTGACGTAGACCTGAGACGATGTTTAATGGAAGGGGGAAAACAGGAAGCCAAGGGACTTTGAGTTGAGACCCATCCGAAAAGGATGAGGGGTGACCCTCCTTGGCCGATAAAATACTTTCCCGCGTGGCGAGATCAGTTACATAGACCTGGGAGGGTGAGTATGGAAAGGTCGTTTTTGAGGCGCCTCAAAAACGACCTCAGTTACATAGACCTGGGAGGGTGAGCATGGAAAGGGGGGCGAGCAGAAAGCACAGGGAGTTCAGATACCCATCAGAACAAACGGAATGAGGAGCGATCTTCCTTGGCCAATAGGATGCTTTCCCGCGTGGCGAGATCGGTGACATAGACCTGGGAGGGTGAGGAATGAAAGGGGGGAAAACAGGAGACATAGGGAGTTCAGATACCCATCAGAACAGAATGAGGGGCGATCCTCCTTGGCCAATAGGATGCTTTCCCGTGTGGCCAGATCGGTGGCGTAGACGTGCGAATACTGGGGTGAGCAAGAAGTGTTTTGAGACGTCTCAAAACACTTGTTCAATCAGATCGGTGGCATAGACGTGCGAATACTGGGGTGAGCAAGAAAAGAGCGGCAAGAGAGAAGGTGAGGAAGCAAAGAGCAAGGAGACGAGACCCATCGAACACACACACATTCACACACCCACTCACACACCCACTCACACCACGCAAACAATCACCGACCCACACACATATACAGACACAAACACACACGCGGACCTTCTTCCTTTGGCCCACTTGTCGCCCCTCCCCCCCCCCCCCCACACAAACACTCGCGCCCCCCTTTGGCCCACTCGTCGCCCACTCCTTTGACACACACACACACACACACACACTCGCGCCCCCCCCCACACACAAACACTCGCCCACACACACACGGCACTCACACATGCATCTCTGCCCCCGCTGTAGACACGTGTGAACTCCTCATTGGCTGCCACAGCCCACACTGAGTCTGTGTGCACCGCGTACGAGTGCACACAGCGCTGCTGGCCCAGGTCCCACAGGCTGTGTCCAGGAGAAAAAAGGAGAGAGGGAGAGAACACTCGCACACATGAGTCAGAGTGCACACCGCACAGCCCACACTGAGTCTGTGTGCACCGCGTACGAGTGCACACAGCGCTGCTGGCCCAGGTCCCACAGGCTGTGAAGGGAAGGGGGTGTGAAATCAAGGAGAAACAAACAGAAGCACGAAAAAAAACGCACATGAGTGCACCGCACAGCCGACACCGAGTCTGTATGCACTGCGTATGAGTGACACAGCGCTGCTGGCCCAGGCCTCATAACCTGGGAGAATTCACGCAGAGAAAAGAAAGCAGGGGCATAGTTGGCTGAAACACCCTGTGCACAGGGCACAGTGCACCGTGTATGAGTGCACGCAGTGCTGCTGCCCTAGGTCCCACAGCGGCACAGACAGCCTGCACCAAGGAGAACGAAGCACACAGGGAGAAGGAGCAGGGTGAGGCAGTGAGCAGGTGCACAGCCCCCACCGAGTCGAGTCTGTATGGACGGCGTTGGAGTGCACACACACAGCGCTGCTGCTCTAGGTGTTTTGAGACGTCTCAAAACACAGGGAAGCAGGAGCAGGGTGAGGCAGTGAGCAGGTGCACAGCCCACAGCGAGTCAAGTCTGTATGGACGGCGTTGGAGTGCACACACACAGCGCTGCTGCCCCTGGTCCCACAGGCTGGGAAAGCCAAGAGTCAAGAGGGAAGTCGAGTTTAGGGGAAACACACACAGAGACACACCGAACAGGGGGTACTTCTGTGCGAGTGGCACAGTGACTTTCCAGATGAATTATCTCTACTGTTTAACAAGGTGACTTTAGAGCCGACTCAAAAGTCACTTCTGTGCGAGTGGCACGGCGGCGCCGGTGACTTCTCAGATGATTGACTAACTAAATCCGTGCAAAAGGAGCCATTGTCTCTACTGTTTGACACTCCAGATAAAGAAACGGGCTTAGAAGCTTCTAGTGTGCACCAGATGATTTGAGTCCGAGACAGGTTTTGAGACGTCTCAAAGGTTTAGGCGTTTTGAAAGAGCTCACCGGATAATTGAGTCGGAGGAGCCGGACAAACAGAACCTGCAATGGCGTGTGTGAGAAGAGGGATGGGGAGGGAGGGAGAGAAAACAGACGGTTTGAACCGGGAGCGATCGTAGCTATTTGATGCTGACCCATCAGATGATTGAGTCGGGGGAGCCGGACACACAGAAACTGCAATGGGGTGTGAGAGGAGGGGGAGGGAGGGAGAGAAAACAGACGGTTTGAATCGAGAGCAATCGTAGCTATTTGATGCTGACCCATCAGATGATGGAGTCGGAGAAGCCGGACAAGAAGAACCTGCAATGGGGTGTGAGAGGAGGGGGAGGGAGGGAGAAGATGCGTTGAGTTGGAAGAGAGACTGTACCTACTTGGGTGAATGGTTTCGTGCACGCACACACACACACGCTGCGCACCTCCACGCCCCCCCAACACACACACAACACAAAGTGACTTCTGAGTGGACTCGAAAGTCAGCATGGGGTCCATTACATCGCCCAACATAAACTCACACACGACCTACCACAGCATAGAGCCAATTACCTGCCAGTCGGATCAACAGCCAGTGCTCTAATATTCTCCGTGTGCCCTTTCAGCTTCATCTTCTTGGCACACATGGGTCCCATCCTACACAGGATGCCCACCACCACCTCCTCTCACGCTTTGCCTCACCTTACCACAAAGCCACTCACCTGCCAGTGGGATCAACAGCAAGAGCCCTGATGTGCTCCGTGTGCCCTTTCAGCGTCATCTGCTTGGTCCCTGTGCGAGGGTCCCACACGCGGACCACCTTCTCCCCTTCATACCCTCTCTCGTTTCCCTTACACACCCCAGCATGATCAATCAACAGCCACTCACCTGCCAGAGGGCTCAATAGCAAGTGCCCTGATATTTTCCGCGTGCCCCGTTAGCTTCATCTGCTTGGTCCCTGTGCGAGGGTCCCACACGCGCACACCACCACCATCCTCCTGATCTTTTCCCCCCATAGGGTCAACAGTCGCTCACCTGCCCGTAGAATCAACAGCCAGAGCTCTAATATTCTCCGTATGTCCCTTTAGTTTCATCTGCTTGGTCCCCGTGCGAGATTCCCACGCATGCCCTCTCCGTTCCCTCTTATCTGCCACTCACCTGCATGTGGGATCAATCAACAGCCAGAGCTCTAATGTTCTCCGTGTGCCCTTTCAGCTTCATCTGCTTGGTCCCCGTGCGAGGGTCCCACTCATGCCCTCTCCTTTCCCTCTCTTGTTATCTGCCACTCACCTGCCAGTGGGGTCGATAGCAAGAGCTCTAATATTCTCCGTATGTCCCTTTAGTTTCATTTGCTTGGTCCCTGTGCGAGGGTCCCACACGCGAACCACCTTCTCTGTGCCGCCCGAAACCACCACACTCCCGGCACTGTTCATCGCCACAGAATACACCGAGTCCTTATGCCCCTTGGCCGGCACTGGAGAATATACCCCGACTACCGGCCCCGCAGCTGAACCCACTCCTGTCCCCCCTGTTGTTCCCCCCGCCCCCCCCCGCTCCCCCCGCTCCCCCCGCTCCACCTGCTCCCCCCGCTCCCCCTGCTCCTGAGCCTGTACTGCCTCCCCCTAGCCCCGAAGCAGCAGCAGAGGTAGCAGGGGAAGCAGTAGACGCGGAAGCAGGGGGGCCGGAGGAGGAGGAAGAAGGGGGAGAAGAGGAGGAGGTATGGGGGAGAGACCCCCCTGACCAGGTGAGAGGCTGTGCTGCTGCTAAGTCCCAGATGAACAGCTCTGAGCCAAGACCGGCTGATGCCACAAGAGGGACCTGAGGAGAAAGGGGATAGGGGAAAGAGAGGGGACTGTGTTGATTGATACGGAGAGGGTAGGAGAAGGAGGGGAAGAGAGGAGGGAGAGACCCCCATGATCAGGTGAGTGGCTGTGCTGCTGCGAGGTCCCAAACGAGCAGCTCTGAAGCCACTGGAGAAACCTGTGGACGGGTGGGGGGAGAGGGGAGAGAGATGGAAATGTGTTGACGAGGATAGGGTAGGAGAAGGGAGGGCAAGAGGGGAGAGACCCTCCTGACCAGGTGAGTGGCTGTGCTGCTGAACCGAGACCCGTTGATGCCACTAGAAGAACCTGTGGACGAGGGGGAAGAGGAGGGAGGGGGGCGCGGGAGAGAGGGGGGCGCAGGAGGAAGGGGGGCGCAGGAGGAAGGGGGGCGCAGGAGGGAGGGGGGCGCAGGAGAGAGGGGAGAGGTAGTTGCTGGGACGACGCTGCCAGCAAGAGCGAAGACTGCCGTCGTTGTGGTGCCCGAGTGCTGCTGCACTGCATGCATGCTGCAGTGCTGTTACTGTTAGGGGCAAAGGTGAGCATGACACCCACATCGCGGGCGGCAGCGAGAGCAATCACGTAGTCGCTGTGGTGCCGCAGTGCTGCTGTTACTAAGAGAGGGGAGAGGCGAGCATGGTGCTACTTACATCGTGGGCGGCAGCGAGAGCGATGACGTAGTCGCTGTGGTGCCGCAGTGCTACAGTTACTAGAGAAGGGGAGAGGCGAGCATGGTGCTACTTACATCGCGGGCGGCAGCGAGAGCGATGACGTAGTCGCTGTGGTGCCGCAGTGTGTCGGTGCACTCGCCCCTTGGGGAAAAGGCCTTCCATGTCTAATTCGTGCACACATGAATGCACACAAGGAGGGCGTGGGGGAAAAGGGGATTGTAGGGACAGCTTAGTAGATAGATTGAGAGCACACGGGTGCCACAGGGTGTCGGTGCACTCGCCCCTTGGGGAAAACGCCTTCCATGTCTGGTGTGTGCACACAAGATGCGCATGCACACAAGGAGGACAGAAGAAAAGGGGTTTTGGGGACAGCTGGGAAGACACTGCTGCCAAAACATGGGTGCTGCAGGGTGATGGTGGGATGATGCTGCAAGCAGCGTGGGTGTTGGTGCACTCGCCCCTTGGAGAAAAGGACCAGGAGACGAGCGTGTCCGCCCCCACTAACACCACGTCATTCACCCAGTCTGTATGTGACTCGAATGTCCCCTGAGTCAACTCTACACATGCAATGCTCTGAACGACTGACATGCCACAACCATGCGTGAACAACTCACCTTGAGGGATCCATTGGAGGAGCATGAGACGAGCGTGTCTACTCCCACCAGCACCACATCATTCACCCAGTCTGTATGCGACTCGAACGTCACCTGAGTCAACTCTACACATGCAATGCTCTGAACGACTGGCTTGCTGCAACCATGCGTGAGCGACAGGCTCACCTTGAGAGAGCCATCGGAGGAGCATGAGACGAGCGTGTCCTCCCCCACCAGCACCACATCATTCACCCAGTCTGTATGCGACTCAAACGTCGTCTCATATACTCCTCTTTGTGTTAAAGCTACCGCACCTCCGTTCCCCCTCCCGTACCGATCCTCCTCTGCAGCTCCGGAACCCGCCGAGCCTACCGGAACCCTCCACCGCTTTATGGTTCCGTCCCGGCTTCCTGTGAACACTAAATCCTCGATGAAAGCCTCCTCGTTATAATCACCATCATTGCTGCTTCTATTGTGGCCGTGGGAATGTGAGTGTGGGTGAGAGTGGGGCGATCTGGGTCCCTGCTGGTGCAGGTACCATGCTGACGTGGCAGGAGGGGCGAGGCATACACTGTTGACGCCAGCACAGTGCTGCGCAGGTGGGGGCAGGAATCAGGGGATGGGGGAAAAGGGGGAAGAGCAGGAAGCAATGGGAGGGATGCTGTAGAAGGCGAGAGTGGGGGAGTTGGGCGTTTGAGTCGGGGAAGGATGAGGAGGGAGAGGGGAGGATGGTGATGGAACAAAATAGAAGCGGCAGTGCGACCTAGTGCGAGGTCAAGCGAACATTCTCCGTGCCCCATGCTCATGGTGCGCATGACGAGGGGTACAGAAGAGCTATGAGGGATAAGGGGCAAGGATCGGAGGTGAGGGGGGATAATGAGGGGTGCAATATGTAAAGGTGACTGATGAAAGGTGACAAGTAAGAAATGAGAACCAGAGTTTGGGGGGAAGGGGGGGTGGGGTGTGGGGGGTGGGGAAGGGTGTTGAAAACTAAGAGGGGTTAAGGAGGGATCTGCGGCGATAATGACAGACAGGTCATTGGAGGCAAGGAACGTCTGGGTCCCTCATTAACGTTATATTCGAGTTTAAGGTCTCCAGCTGGCAATAATCATGACTCTATTATGCATCTCCAACTCACGGTGGTATTATCCGAGCCGCGCACGACGAACGTGACTTTCCGCTCCTTGCGGGGCCTCGCCATGGCCCCACCGCCAGTCACACCGATGCATTGCCGTGGTCCAGTGCGGTTGAAAACGGTTGATTGCTTTTTTTACTCTATTCTACGTTCTCAACTCACGGTGGTGTCGTCAGAGTCTCGCACGACGAACGTGACTTTCCGCTCCTTGCGGGGCCTCGCCATGGCCCCTCCGCCAGTCGCCATGGTCGACATGGCTCCCGCGCTCGTCGACCGATGCATTGCCGCGGTTCAGTGCGGTTGACAGTGGTTGATTGCGTTTGACTGCGGTCGGAAGAGCCGAGAATGAAACGCAGTTACATGTGATAAGAGGGGATCACCAATGGCGAATAGCGAATCTCGGTGTTCGCGAATCTTGCTTCCTTTCAATCCCGGTTGGCCCCGGTCAAAGGAATGAGTAAAATTCGGTTATTTTAACCTCGAATGAGTGGCTTACTGAGCGAGAAGACCGCAGCCAATGACATTATCTAAGAGTTCTCTAACGCGTATGCCTTATTGAGGCCGTATCCTAAACGATCACGAATGGCATGTTCGACGGAACGCAGAGAGCCTCGAGATTGCCGACGGATTCGCGCCAGCACACATTCATATGCAACAGACGCCGCGTCTCAGATTTCCATCAAAGCTCCTGCGGAACTCACCGATTAAAATACCACCGCCCTCCCGCGAACCGAGAAACTCATTCAAAGGAGCCAGCGTGGAGGACCTTGGTCCGCAATGAGAAGCAAGTCTGTTGAATCACAAAAACCACGGGCCACATGAAAGTGATATGCGAATCTGTGGATGAAGGTGACTGTAACGGGGTGCCAAGGGAAGAATGGGAAAGGAGGGTGCAAATATCAAATTGATCGGGTTGGTCATGAAAAAACACATTTTATATAATCATAGCACAACATTTGGGGTGGCGGGGGGGGACACAGTACTGTAGTACAGTAATATCGAGTCCTTTCGTGGACATTCTGTGGTGGGATTTTGCACCCCCCACCAATTCGCGGCACTCACGGAAGACTGGCCCATGATACTAAATGGTCAAGGTGATTGCGGTCCTGGCGACTATTTGCCGCGCCACCACATGAGCTATTACTATACATTCCTAGAAATTCTTGACTTAAGTTCTGAATGTTTCCACGGGGTATCCGCGGTTTAGCTATTGCGCTGCTTCTTGCGCGAATGCAGTCGGCGCGCGGAGGGCAGCCGGGTGGAGAGCAATTACCGGAAAGTCGCCAGCGCATGGCGGACGGGAGCGAGGGGTTAGCAGAAATGAGCTTGAATGGCGGGAATGAGCGGGAAATCAGGGGAGAGAACAACGACATGGCGGAAATCACCAAAGAAATGGCGGAGGAGAGTGGGGGAATGGCGGGGGAGAGCAGTAGAACGGGGCGACGGAGTGGGGGAAGGACAGAAGAGAACAACTTCAGCTACAATCACACTCTCTCCAATCATACTCGCGCTGGCACGCGCAAACGCGCTATTCCAGGAGACGTGCTGCTGGAGCTGGGCGAAGCGGGACCCACGGGGTTCAAGCGGCTGCTGGGCGTCGCGGGCGTGCTGCCGGAAATTCACCGCCGCCTGCGGCGCAGCAATGCGACCGTGCTCGCCCCGTCGGATTCGGCACTAGCGGCCCTGCTACCGTTGGTGCTCCCCTTGGTGCTGCAGAGACTGGAGGCCTCGGCGCTACTCCCCAGGAATCGCCAAAACAATGCGGCATTTGCAAGAAAACTAAGGGCGACACAACAAGGAGCGAGAAGAGGGGAGAGTTTAGAAGCGCAGCTGGGTATTCCGAACGAGCAGCAGCTGGGTGGGTTGCGGCAGGACTCGTCCCAACAGCTAGGGTCGGCAGAGAGATGGAAGGACTCGTCCGAACAGCTAGGTTCGGCAGAGAGACAGGAGGTCCTGAGGGAGATAGCCCTGTGCCACGTGATCCCATCTAGGGTTTCCCTCCTGCAGTGGCGCGGCGAGCATAGGTCGCTGCAGGGCACTCGCCTTAGTCTCGCATCCTCTGGGCTTAGATTCAGTGTATCCAATGTGCCTGTATCGAGTATCGATCCGGGAGGTGTGCCTGTGTTGAATGGGGCTTTATCGAGAGGGGATGTGTCGAGTGTGGCTGTAACAGTGGGTGCCACTGTAGTCACGCGGCGCCTGGTAGTGTACACTGTAGAGGGAGTGCTGCTACCCTCACTGCTGGGAGGGAGTGTGAGTGTAGATAATAGTAAGAAGGAGAAGGGTGATGCAAGCAAGAGGAGGGAGAGAGGGGGTTGGGGTGAAGGAAGGATTTGGAAGGAAGATTCAAACCAAGGGTTTGATGATGCTGCAGCTCATGACATTAAACAAATCGAGCAGACTCTAAATGCATTCTTGGACAGGCAAACTTTTGGTAAGACTTCAGTGTGGGCCCTGTCCCTGTCCAATTCCGGTCCCTACTGTATGATTCGTTGTTCCCTTTGTCCATATGTCCAGTCCTGTAGTCTTGCCCTGTTTCTGTGCTATTTCGGGAATCTATATCTCCTGTCATCCATTCCAGAAGTGGTCACGTGAGAATTGCGTGTCTATGCAGCTCGAGTCAAACCAAGTTTCTCGACAACAACCATCAGTGGCGCGTGTCTTATGGTTCTATTGGCCTTGCTGACTTATCGAATCAGATGCAAGGTAAGCAGTTACAATTCTTATGTGTTGTCTGTTGGGCTGAGATAGCCCCTTAGGATCTTTGCAAGGGATAACTCTAGGTGAAGTAGTTGTAATAGCGGAAGCGTTTAGTGAAGAATTTGAACCGACCTTGCACTGGTGTGTGAGAGCAAAGTTGATTGAATTAAACAAGCAAATACAAGGATTTATATAAGAGTACAGGGAATAGATAGATAACTGTATTGCTGTTGCGGTTCGATATAGCGCGACTCGGGCAACTGCTCTGTAACGAGTCAGTTGTGTGTCCTTAACTGTCGCGCTGTAATTGTCGAGTCAAAGGTCAGCGACCTTTGACTTTCTCGTAACCTCCAGGCGGTTACCCTAACCTCCGAGGTTGACTCGATGCTTCGATTGGGACTGCTTCGCTTGGTACCTTGGATTTTGATACGACAGAAGCGCACTTAGGACTTATTGTTTCCAACACTCCCCTTCGCTTCTGGAGTGTTACTGCTGGTGACGTGGCCTTGTCCAGTCAGCATCATGCAGTATTCGAACTTCTGCTTGCCGAGTTTCTTGGTCAAGTAATCGGCTGCCATCTCGGATGTTGGACAGTATGACAGATCGAGTTTCCCTTTTTCTATCTCGTCCTTCACGAAGAAATAGCGCAGGGCGATGTGTTTCGTCCTGTTTGCGAAGCCGTTTTTGTTGGCGATGCGAATTGCTGACTGGTTGTCGCAGAACACGGTGAAGCTGGGTAACTCGGCTAGCTTCGCTTCTTCCAGTAGTTCGCGAAGGTAAAGTCCCTCCTTGGTGGCTGAGCAGAGTGCAATATATTCTGCTTCTGCTGAAGATAGTGCGATTAACTCCTGCTTGCTCGACTGCCAGGAGATAGGACCGATAGGCTCAAGGCGGTAGACATAGCCGGTGCGTGAGCGCCTGTTGTCGGTGTCGCCGGCGTGATCGGCGTCGACGTAGCCGATTAGCTTAGTCGGTGTAGCTGCGCTCTTGTGGTAGGTTAGCCCGATCGTCGCGGTGCTGACGAAGTAGTGGAGAGCGCGATCAAGTTCCGCCAGGTGTTCAGCTTCAGGCTTCTTGAGATAGGTGGCGAGCTGACTTGCGGAGTAGGATAAGTCAGGACGGCAGGTGACGGCGGCGAATAGCAGGCATCCGAGCTTCTTCTGATAGTCGCGTATGCCGGCGGGCTTTAGTAGAGTAGTTCGTTCCTTCTCGGTTCCTGATGTGTAGCGGTAGGGCGTGGAGATGGCGCTTGGTGTGAGGCTGAAGCGTTTCGCGATGGTGTCGGCGTATTTCTCGGCGCTTAGATAGATGGCGTTTTCTTCTTCGCGAATGTTGAGCCCGAGGTACTGTGTAACGGTGGAGGAGACCGTGAGCGTGAGGTCTTTCTGGAGCTCTCCTTCGAACCACGTGGCGATGCCGTCGGTTGACCCAATGTAGAGGAGATCGTCCACGTAGACGATCAGGAGAACGTAGTCGCTTCCCTTAGTGAGGCGGTACATGCCTTGGTCGTGAGGTAGTTGACTAAAGCCGATGCGGATGAGACGGGCGTGCAGGTACTGCTGCCACAGTCGCGGTGCCTGCTTGATCCCGTAGAGCGATTTAAGTAGTTGACAGATTCGGTTGGGTTCGCCGTGGGAACCGTGCGGGAGCTCGACGTAGATTTCTGCATCCACAGGTGCGTAGAGGAAGGCATTCGCGACGTCGATCTGCCGTAACTTCTTCTTCTTCATGGCGGCAATGGCGAGGAGAATTCGGAGTGACGTGTGGCGGCTGACTGGAGCAAAGGTCTCGGTGAAGTCTCGTCCTTGCTCTTGGTCGAATCCACGTACGACCCAGCGTGCTTTGAATTTTTCGATCGTGCCGTCTGCTTTCGTCTTGATGCGGAAGACCCATTTCCCGGTAAGGATGGTTTTGTTCCGTGCCACGCTTACGGGAACAACCTTCCAAGTGTTGCGTTCCTCTAATGCCTTCAGTTCTCTATCCATGGCTTCACGCCATTTCTCCCTGTGTTCCCCCCCCAGAGCCTGCTGAACCGTTGCAGGCTCCTTAGGAAGCGAGCTGCGTGTGTTCCCGTGGACTGCGGTGACGAGGCCGAGGATTTGCAGCCCAGTCTGTGAGTATCGAGGGAGTTCTGGATCCTCGGGATAAGCTGCTTCGTCTCCCGTTTCTGGGTCGGGCATGAAATTTGGCCCTACCCTTTCTGCTTCGTTGGTGTTGACTGTCACAGGTGTTACGTAACCATCGTCGGCGAAACGGTAGAAGATTTCGGCGTTGTTACTGTCGCGAGGATTATCCTCATCCATGGGCACGTCGACGGAGCAGTATGGGAGAGGTCCGGCTTCTTCTGAGGCGTTGTCGACGTTCTGTTCATCCCAGTCTGCTTCGTCCGCTGCTGACGCGAAGGCTCGGTCACCACGAAAACCACTGGTGAGGTCCCGATTCTCGTGCAAGTTGGCGAGGTACGTCTGAAGGGTGAGTCTTTCGTAGAAGATCACGTCACGTGCTGCTACTGTTTCCTTTGTGTGGACGTCGAAGATTTTCCATGCGTTGTAATTTTTCTCGATGCCGAGGTGTAGTCCCCACTGTGCCCGTTGCGAAAATCTTCCCGCTCGTGCTTCTGGGGGTCTGTACTGTACCATGCACCCGAAAACTCGTAACATTTTCGTGCTGCCCTGCTTCCCTGTCCACAGCAGATGCGGTGATGCGTTGTTCGGGAGTGACGACGACGACAACAAGTTGTGTAGCATGACAGCGTGGTCCATTGCTGCTGGCCACTGGTGGTTGGGTAGCCGCATGCCACGTAATAGTTTGCGCATGCTGTTCTGCAGGGTCCTGTTCAGTCGTTCTGCAACACCTTGCTGCTGATGTGCGTAGGGAAGGGAGAGGAGTTGCTTGATCCCCCTTTCCGCCAAGAACTGCTTGAAGCGGTGAGAGGTGTACTCGCCACCTCCGTCTGACTGGAAATTTTTCAGTTGTGTTCCAGACTCTCTCTCTGCTATCGGTAGCCAGGCGGCGAATGCTGCGAGCGCCATGTCGCGGCTGGGTAGGTTGCGATGCCAGACGTATCGAGTGGCGGCGTCGATGAAGGTGATGGTGTAGTTGTAGTTGACTTGTCCTGGCTCGCGATTGTAGAGGATGTCGCTGTAGACTTTTTCGAGTGGTGCGTACGCTGGAGCGCTCGGGTTGTGATGTGAAGCAAACGGTCGATGAGGTAAGTCAGCTTCGGGACATATAAGGCAAGTCCCTCGTGCCTTCTGGAGTTCTCTGCCATCGGGTAGAAGTAGAGAATCTTTGTCAAGGACTCCTGCTCTTATCGTGTTATTCAAAACCGTGTTGCTTGGATGTCCTGTTCGTGCGTGCCAGATCTCTTCAGAGGCGCGGTGTCCAGGTGAACGCTGATATGCGTCGGAGTTGGAGTAAAAGCTGGCGACGAGGTTGGCGCTTCGGTGGACTTCACGTTGAGTCGGATTCAGCTGTTTCGCGGGTGTTGGTGGTGCTTCGTCGACTGTGACTGGTGTCGTTGTTCCTGCTGCTGCTGATGTTGTTGCTGCTGCCGATGTTGTTGCTGCTGCCGATGTTGTTACTGCTGCCGATTGTCGAATTGTTGCTAATGCTCGTGTTCGTTCTGCTTCAGGAATGGTGTGCGAGTACCAGAAGCCTCCTGGGCTGAAGTCGGGGTCGAGATCCGGAGGGTGTGTCCAGTCAGTGAAATTCACGATGGCGTCGCTGTCTGCAGTGCCCAGGTCAGGAACGAAGTCGAGGACGAAGACGTTGTTCTTCAGCACTGCTTTCCCGATGTAGAGACCGCCTCTCCCGTGGTAAAGTTTGAACTCCTGGGTCGTGCTGTCGGCTTCCAGATGAATTCCTTTCGCCATCAACTGGCTAACGCTCAGTAAGTTGTAGCCGAGTCCTTCAGCGATGAGTACCTTAGATATGTGCAGTATGACATTTGTTTCTCTTGACTGAAGCTGTACCACTCCTTGTCTTCGTGTGCGCAGGTTTTGGTTGTTGGCAACCGTGATGATCACTTCCCGTTGGAGTCGATGTTCGCGTTGTACGAAACGCCCGGACGAGCACATGTGTTGCCCGCAGCAACTGTCCAAGAACCAGGTGTCTTGGCCGGACGGTTCACTTTGAGCGATGGCGGCGTACGTTGGATTCGGCTGGAGTAGCTCACGGCGAGGCGTTCTGTTGTCAAGCTCTTCTTCCGGTGAGTAGTGTGGTGGTGATTCGGTTGTACATGAATCGGTTATCTTCGTCATGCAGTTGATTATATTTCTTGCTCCTTGTGCAGGTTGTCCGGGTGAAGTCGTTGAAGCTTGAA